TGTCTGGCAGAAAGCAAATCCAGTACGTTAAGCAGCAAAACATGAGTTAAAATAACATATGCGTTCAGATAGACACCACGTTGCTTTTCTGACCCTGGTTGTCTGCTGATGTGATTCATACTGAAATCAGAAGGTATAATCTTCCATAATAGCCTTCTGTGTTAGTGGAAATTGCCTTGAGCTGGCAAAGTAAGCAACCAAACAATTTTACTGAGCTCCAGTCTGCCAAGCAGCTTGTAAACACTGACCTTTTAACACAGGTATAAAGACTAAAACTGAGTGAAACTCATTGTATGTAAAGGATGAAATCATTCAGATTTTAAAAGCTATGATGTGCATGTTTTGTTTATACAGCCCATTTTAGTTTGTTACTACCTGCCTGTTCTGTAAATTCTGTTAAAGGAGATGCAAACCCTTAAGGCTATGATGATTTGTACTGTATTAAAATCAGTAATGATGTGGTGTTAGTCACTTTACCGAATAACACATGACTCAGAGGTTGCATTGAATTAAAAAAGTAAACAGGTAGCTTTCTATTTTTTATTCTCTTGTTAATTGTGCTCATGTCATGTTTCCTCCTTCTGTTGTTCAGGATAGTCCAGTACATTTATTCTCATTATTAAAATGCTGTGTTGACATTTCTGTCTGATGACAGCACAAAGTATTGACAAGTTCTTGGTCATATTTTATACAAAGGAAATTATTGACCTAGTTATATAGGATAAATAACCATAACTCCTGGTGAAGTGTGATGTAATCTGCTGAATTATTGACTATAGTATTAAGTGTTTAAAAAATGTTACATGGAGTTTTGATGCACAATATTTTCAGATTATTTGTGAAAACATTGGTACTTGCGATGTACAGTAAATGAAGTGAAGGACTCTGGCAGTGAAATCTATCAGTTTCAAACAGCAGAGGAGCAAAACAATGAAACCAACAGAGCAGTTAGCTGCGGTCTAGCAAACATGGTCAGATGGTACAGCTGTCTTGCAATACTGTGACACGTTTATTTTTATTAGTCCCTTCTACGCATGTATTACTGTATTCAAATGCATTGTAGACCGCCTTGAGATTAATTAATATAAATATAACCACTTTTTACTGTCTCACGGGCTCTGTCCAAGCTCATTTTCATACTGACGATGTGTTCTCATTCTTTGTTTCCATTTAATCTGATGAGGTGGTAGGTAGCCACTTTCTTTGAGTAGTAAATTAATATTGGAAACCAAAGCAAATCCAAACTGTCAGCGCCTCATTCAAGATACTAGGTTTGGCTGCTGTTTTGAACTGCTGGGACCCACCTGTTCTTCAACACTGTAAAGCCTGCCATGGTCTATTAGATTGTTGTCTGTAATAGTACCTGGGCCTGTAGGGTTATACTGTATAAAGTATTTAAAACTTTTGTTTAATGCATGTGGTAATGTTTGTTAGGGATACATCACTCACTAGATGTAACCATATCACTTAAGTATGAGAGGTCTAATTTTGATTAATCATACACTCAAGAATAAAAGGATGTAAAAACCCTTTGGAAGGCACTGTAAGTTTAAAATTGAAAGGAATGAAAGTATATTATCCTCTCTAGAATTGCCAGTGGGGAAAAAATGCATTGTTACAGAATGTATCACTAAGTCTGGACCTGTTTGAAAATTGCTGATCTTACAAGCAAACAGTTTAGGAGTGATTTGTCACACAGAGAGCTTGAACTTATTTGTGTCTGTTTCTGAAAAGCATTTAAAAGCATTTAAATTCCATGTGCGCTCCTGTGCGAAGCTTCTACAAATAGACTAGGGGCAGGGCACGTCAGCACCAGGCTAATGTGTAATCACACATTACAGGAGCTAATCGCAAAATTAATTTTCCTTGCAGATGTGTTTTAATAGGTTCCTGATTTATTTTTCCCCCTTCACAGTCTTAACTGCTTGTGTATAAAATCTAGCTGAAGGCATTTTCTTCAGTTCTTAGTAACTCGCATTTCTCTGGAATCCATAGAGATGTGCGTGTTAAGATATTTTTTGTCCCCGTGAAGCTGTCCAATAGGCTATTTGAGAGCTCTTTACGTGGACATGAACAGTAATGTGCGATGCCTTTTTTCATAGTAATTTATCCACAGTACAGAAATCAGGGTATCAGCTATAACATGATTAGTTAGCTTGCTCCATATTTCCTCAGCCCCTGCTCTCCACTTTCACTCGTGTCCTCTAGTTCATGTTTCACTGTTTGGGTTGAAGAATTACACTTGGTCGGGCTTTGTCTATGCCTTTGAGGATTTCAAAAACTTGGATCAGGTCCCCTTTTTTCTTCAGTTCCCTCAGCCTCTCAGTGTGCGATGTTCCTTTAAGACCCATAACCTATCTAGATCTACTTCTGGATTTGTTCCAAGGCAGCAATGTCTTTTTTCTACATTTCTTCTGTGTACGTTGTACATTTTAACGCACTGTCCCATCCCCTTGTTTAAGATTTATCCTATTAACAGGATGTCATTATACTTTGCCTTCTCGTTGCTCCTTTACATTGTCTAGTTAATATAAATGATGTGTCATTATAAACACAGATCTTTCTGTAGTTGCCTCTCTGAAAGCAGTGTTCCCGTTTTGTATGTATGCTTCCTATGTTTCCTACCTGCATGTATCACTCTGCACTTGTTTGTATTAAATTTCATCTGCCAGCTGTTTGCCCAGTCTTTTATTGCAAAGTATTTTGTTGCTCAGGATAACATAAACAGAATTTTAGACAAAATATCACTAATGTGCTGTTTATGGACATAGAGTAATCTCTATATGATGTCTCGTTTTTACTTTTACTTATTTTTAAAAATAAAAGTCAATTTATCTGTGTAAAGTTTTTATGTTGAATTATAGTGTGCATATTGTGGTTAATGTTTAGAAGTGGTAAACTGGACTGAAAAGTGCCTGTAATGTATAATAATGTTAAATGACATTTACTTTGTAAAATAATACCAATAATGATAGTGTACAACATGAAATAACTATTTTTGCTGTGACTGTGATATATGTTAACTTATATAAGATGTCTGTCATTATTTCTTAAGACTGTAGCTCTAGGATTATGAGCAATCTGTGTCAACCTGTTGAAATGTATACTATTGGCACTGTTACTAAATAAGCAGGCCAAAATTACATATTGATTGTATAAGTGCTCTATTTATTAAAGAAATCCAAAAACAGTTCAGTAACTGCAGCCAGCATTAAGCTATTTTGATGTCAAATTTTAATTTAGAACTTACTTTGCAGTAACTGGTCATGTAGATCCTAGATTAAGAATGGCTGTATGGCAATGTAGCGATAGAATTTAATTTCTTTCAAAGTAAGATTACACTTGAGTTCAGCACCTGTGCACTGTTGGTACTGAGTGTCTTCTACATAGACGTCTGTATGTTAGGAAAAAAGAAAGTACTTGTAACATCATCATGATGTGTCTTCTCAGAAAGTGTATTAAAATCAATTTCCCTTCGGGATCAATAAAGTCTTATCTATCTATCTAAAATGATAACCTTATGTAATGTACTACTGTCAACTCTAAGGCATATATATAGCTTACATGTATCTATTTATAGTTTCAATCCTAGAGGTGAAAATGGGTTAGTAACACTTCTTCCCATGCCCAAAGAGTACGGACTAAAATGTATGCATTTGCAACACAGTGGTAGACAGAGAAATCTTCTAAGGGGAAGAATAAATATTAGATATAAATCCATGAAAGAGCAGGACTCTTTCTATGAAAACACTTTAAAGTTTATGACAAATGCTTGTTACCCAGATTGAATAACATCCCCTGGAGCAGTTGGTGCTTTTAAGTACTCTATCTTAATTTACAGGGGCCTTTATTAGCCTATTATTTATTGGGATGTTGTGCTATAATCAAAAGTTGGTGACACGCCTCTTCTCATCAAGGTGATAAAAGGAGATGTTTATTAGCAGATGGACATTTATTGATTACAATTGATGAGATTCATTGAAGTCCTTCAATGAGATCATCATGCAAATGTATTTCTGACAGCACTATATTATACGGCTGGGAACTACAGCCTTAAGATCTCCCCATGTTTGCTGTAAGGTAATTTATGTGTGTAGCTTTGGATATTTCTTTTCATGACGTTATTGTTGGCATCTTTAAATATCATGTTAGACAAATTTTGGCACTGATGATTTTGCATTTTTGGTTGTTCCCCTTAGATGAGAGATGATTTCAGCTTTTCTTCAAAGGACCTAGATTTTTGTATTTGAAAGACTTGTGTCTTATGTGCCACTCTGTTATGTGAAATTGAAGATCCCAAAACCCATTAATTCTAAGCAGGCTTTGGAGCTACGAAAGCTGTGGCAATGTTTGTTGAAAACAGTGCAGATCCAGGAGTTCATTTATCCTGTTTAGCTTTTCATTTTCAAAATAAGAAGAACCTAGTCAGCTCAGGAAGGTGAGTCATAGAGGTGGACATTGGTAAAAGTGTAAGAAATTGTGGTCTGCTTGAGTCATCTAGACATTGCTGGATGTCTGACCTGCTGTTTGTAAAAATGCACCCAGCAAGGCACTTTTAATCTTCTGAGTTAATAAAAGTCATGAATCTGATTGAAAAAGAGACACTGTCTTCGCCCGCTATTGGCTAGGGTTATCGGGATGCTGCTGTGTAAACTCAGGTGAAAGCTGATTTTTTTTTTTTTAGTTTAGAACACATCATTCTCTTATGAATCAAGTTTAATATGTGTTTGATTTGACTTTTCGTTTTTCCCCCCCTTGATGAAAGATGCCTTTCTACAAGTGTGTGTTGTAAAGTGGCTTGTTTTCGGCTCATACTAACACTTTTAAAGGTGTTAGGAGCTAGTTTTCATCATTTCGTTGCTTCACATCTTTTCATTTCGTTGCCTTTCTTCACTGAGGCATTCTAATTTGCAAGTAGATGTGTCAGTGGTGGGATGAGCAGACAGCATAAATATATACAAGTTAAACTTAGGCGCATACTTTGTCTTTCCCTTCTGCAGCAACAGGGTGGCTCCTAGCAACCATGACCGGATACAGAGACTCCGGCACGAGTTCCAGCAGGCCAAACAGGAGGATGACCCAGATGACCGCAGGCGCACCTACAGCTTTGAGCAGCCTTGGGTGAGTGTCTAGATTCCTTGCAAGTGCCGGGTCAGCAGGCCACAGGACTTTGACTAACTCCACTACAGCCACACCCTCCCCCCCCCCGGCCTCAGACGTTAACCGTAAACCCCCGCATGAAATATGGCAGCATGGAGTCTGTATCCTTCTGATGTTTTAACCCATAACCTCTCACATCTGCGTTTGCGGGCCATCACACACTCATGCCATCAGGTGTTGTTACCATCCATCTGTCAGTCACTTGGTTGACGTCCGTTTTTTGTCGGAAAGGACTGAGCACACTTCCCATCAGCCCCAGACTAATCTGGGGCTTCTGCAGTTATCTCTGGCCAAGGACGTCCAGCAACCAGGCCATGTCATACCATAAACAGTGGTATTCTGTTTTTTGTCCAAACTGACATGTTCTGCGTTCCAAAAAACTTCTGGGGATACTCATTATGGGACTACCAAATCTATCTTTTAACTTAAAAAGTTCCTTTCTGGAAATGGAGCTGTGTATGTTTTCACTCTTTTTCTTTTTGAAATCAAATAATTTGGGGATCTTGTTTGTCAGTAATAATTTGAAAATCTTTCAAGAAAATGTTTCAAATTGTTTGTCTCTCTCAATTTTGTGATTCTGAATTTCTGAATGGTGTTTTGGGGCACTTTGTCTTCCCATTTGTATGTGCTTTTGTGTGTTGTATACGTTTTTAATGCTTTGGGTGTTCATGTTGAAAACAATATATGTCACCATAAGAATGTATGTTTTTTATAATGGGGAAAATAACAAAAAGAACATCAAACCCATGAAACCTATTTTTATTTTATTTTTTTACAATTTATTGGTTGTTAATGTTTTCAAATGTACTTTTCTCCAATGTATGGAAAAAAACAGAATAATCTGGAACGCTGGAGTGCCTTTTACAGAATCAGTTTTTTTTTCTACTGTAGGTTGTTTTCAGTTTAATTTTCCATTTAAGGGTCATTTATTTTTGCAGTGTTACATACAATAAATACACAGTAGATGGGATACAGAAAATGTAAATGGATAAATTGTGTGTGAAACATCTACATTTTTCTTGATTGCCTCCTTTAAACTGGCACATTTTAAAATTACTGTACCATTTGAGTTTTTGTATTGTTAGAAACAAAATAAAATAAAATTGGTGAGTTTAAAAGTTTTATTTATTCAGTGTTACTACCTAACATTTTGTGTCCATTAATAGGAAAGGTTCATTGTCTTAATCATTATTCTTCTCTTATACGTTGTCATACCTCTGCCTTTTCTTTAAGACAAAATGACATCTTGCATGCTGCATAAACTAACAGAGGTGAATGGTCTAACACTTATGTCTCTTTCCTATGCAACAGCTTGAGACAGACATCAAGGCCTGTCCGGTGCTTCCTTTATAGAGTATGAAATGCATTTTAAGGATGACATCCTAATTATCTTATGAAATTAAGCTATTTCCTAAATTATGGGTCACAAATCTGATGCTCTTTTGTGAAATTTTATAAATTTGTTCCTATTCCCCCTTATCTTTGTGCAATTTAAAGGTAATGAAATGGTAATTTTAGCTTGTGTAGGATACAAAAAATGAAATAGTCCCAAAGCTTATTAAAAAACAACAGTGATGTCTGAAGTAAGGACTGTGTGCAGAGCTGATTAGATAATCTAAATCATTGTCAGTCTTTTGACTCCCATTAGCCAAACACTACAAAACAGTAATTTTTGTAAACAGTGCCCAAATTGAAAGTAAAAATGACTGATACTTATATACATGCCTTTCAGGGGTTGTTGGCACTCTTTATAGAATGCTTTTGTGAAGGTAAATTAATATCATTGCTTATTTAGTGGCTTTCTCTTCTTATTTTAATTGTTTTCATTTGTTTTTGTTTTTGACTTGATAAAATCTCTTTATTTGTACATCATGGAACTGGCAGGATTTGTTTATACCATTTAATTGGCATCTCTCTGTCTTGTTGAACTTTTAGGGCCACACTAGAGAGTCATACTCACCAATCTGTAAAGTCTGACTTGCATTATGTATACCTGTCTGAATCTCAGTAGATCAGTCATCTGAAGGATATTAATATTATGTATAATATGTACCAAGAGAAGGTACATGTGTACTGTAATTGACTTTACAGAAAATGTTACAGATTAAAATCATTACCGAAGAACATATAAGTTTAATTGAACGAATTAATTTATCTAGATAAGATTGTCTTGTAAAATAAATACACAATATACTGTATTTATACAATTTCCCACTCCAATATAGTAGCTTTTGAGGTTATTCATTACAATTATAAAATTATGTATTAACATATGAAGCTTACTTGCTCCTTTTATCTTGGAATAACTTTAATGTTTTTTTTATTTCCATAACATTTTAAAATATATACAGCTTTCAATTTTTGCAACTGCACAGTAGCTACAACACCATAACATGAAGTATCAAGGATTCATTCTTTTAATTGGGCTAAGACTCAGCTTTTTGGCACTAACAACTTCAAACTCAACCCTATCCAAAACCTATTTCCAAAAGGTTTGTAACACTGTTTCATAGAGTTCAAAAGTTGCGCACTTGATACATCATTTTGTGGTGTCAGACCTCCATTCCGGTGTCCTGTTTTGAAGACTAGGGAGTCACCAAAGACAGCAACTTTTTTGAAGATGTGATGTAGAGTACATATTCAATCTCTGCATTGTAATTGGTGTGTGTCATTAGGTTCGGTGACATACATTTTAACCAGTGTTGTTTAAGTGGTCTGTTGAGATATGCAGGAGCTTATTATTAATAGTTAATACTTTATTTTTGTTGCTGATATAAAAAAAATAGTTTTCTTGATTTCATTCAAGATTACCTGATTTATGACTTCCATTACATCCGGTATTCTTTCTGAAAATAGGGAGGTAAAAACTGTTATAAATGAAAACCAAATGTACAATGAATTTAGGTGTATCTGTTCTTGCTTTTCAGAACCCTGAGGGTAAATAGCAAGGGTTTTTATGTCCGATCTACAATATAAAAACTCTCGTTTCTTTGGATGACCTCCTTCCTGTTAGAAACACATGCCAATTTATAGATTGTTTTTTTTAAATTGATTTTCTTAGCTTTAGTTTCCCACATGTTGATATCAGAGATAAATTACAGGTTCGAGACCGTACTACAGTTGCAAATATTTGTGGTTAACTAATAAAGAATCATTTCAAATAATTCAATTTCATTTCTAAAGTACGTCTGATTATGACTAGTAAACCTGTGGGATATACTACTGCTATTTGATCACATACATTGTCCAGGCTGGGTTGCAGCTCAGGTTATGGAATGCGCGTTTCAGTTGCTTATATTATATATGAAATTAAATTATACCATGTTCGGACTCTCTCAGCTTGAAATATCTCTTCTCAACACCCTCCTTAAACCAGATGGTTTGAAATGTCATTCCATGACATGCACATTTTTAAAACTGATCGGAGACAACATTGAGAAACCCTTGGATTTACAATTTTTTTTCTTTGTGTTTTAAACATTTATATATTTCCAGGACCTTACAGGTTACAAAGGAGTTGTCTTACAGAAAGTTTACTTTGTAAATGACTTGTGTGTGGCACGTGAAGTCTAAGGTAATCGAGTGTAAAGTGTAAATTCTTAGGCAGGATTCAAATACTGAGGTCAGGTTCACTTGTACTATGTTACTGGACTGTGGTACTCTGGTACTAGACTGTGGTACTATGGTACTAGTGGTACTATGGTGGGGCGGAGCGGTGGCTCTGTGGCTAAGGATCTGCGCCTGTGACCTGAAGGTTGCTGGTTCAAATCCCGCGGCCGGCAGAGGAATCCTACTCCGTTGGGCCCCTGAGCAAGGCCCTTAACCCCAACTGCTCCAGGGGCGCCGTACAATGGCAGACCCTGCGCTCTGACCCCAAGCTTCTCTCCCTGTCTCTGTGTCTGTGTCTCCCTGGAGAAAAAAAGCTGGGGTATGCGAAAAGACACATTCCTAATGCAAGAAATTGTATAGGGCTAATAAAGAAACATTATTATTATTATTATTATTATTAACATTATTACTAGACTGTGTATGCCAGTCACAGAAGCCCCCACTCTTAAATGATTCAAGCACACAGTACAGTGTGAACATAGTGGAAATTCTTCCAGTTCCACATGCAGGGTTGTTCCTTTTCTGAAAGGAAAAGGAATTCTGGAACCCTACTTCTTTGGTTGCACAGTACCCTGCCTTATGCCTGTTGCTTGTTAGGATAGGCTCCGGCTCCCCTGCGACCCTGTATTAGATAAACCGGTTAGAAAATGGCTGGGTGGATGGAAGAGATGTACTGTGGTGCTGCTAAAAAAGCCTGTTAAGTGAAACCTCTTGGACAGAGACATTTTAAGTGTGAACTGCGTTTTCATTTTTGGTTTCGTGTGGAATTATCCTAGTACTCATCCTCTGGCTCAGAGGAGATTCAACAAAGTAGAGCCATGCTTGGTCTCATTTGTTTTGAAGTTGTTATATCAAATTTGTTTGTGTTTTCAATGCAACTAAATCCATTCGGAACATCTTGTATCTTTCAAACGTTGTGGGCCACACCGAGAACTGTTATGCAAGGCATTGACAAAAGCAAAGACCCCCAGAATCATTAGATGTAAGAATAGAATATATTGGAGGCATCGCATTTCCACAAATCACGAGAAGAATTATTACTAACACACCTTTTGTTTGAGCTCAATTTTTGTAAACACTCTAGTACATTAATATTATGCAGAGAAATGTATACCATATGCCCGTGCACACTAAAGAAAGAATGTGGGGAATAAGCTACATATGCAAACATTGCCTGAATCATTACTCCAACCTTGACCCTGCTTTGATATTGTAGGTCAAGCGAGTCTTGTCTATTATCTTTACCATGGCCAGGTCACTTTGTTATGTTGAAGTCTGGAGCTGCTTCCACATGTTTTCACAGCCTCTAATTCTTTTTTTATAGCTGCAAATAATTTTCATAATTACACTTTATTGTGTCCTATGCTGTTTACACAGGTGTTTGTGTTTCTTTTATTATCCACCCCCCCCCCTTGACTGTTTGAGAAATTGAGAAGAGAGAAAACACAGATTGCTATAATTTTTGTGTTTCTTTTGTAATGTATGCACCCAGGACTTGGCTTTTGACAAGCGGTAATCTTTTTGAACTAATTGACTTGGGAGGAGTTGCAATCCATCAGAGTTCCCCTCATAATTCCATTACCCAGGCTGATTATTTCATGTAGGGCCTGCTTGTCATCTGTCATGACTCGGATGACATGGCGTCACTCATCCTGCAGAACTGACAAGCTGCTATAGGAAGAGAAGTGAAATTAATACTTTATATAATTTCAGGATAATGTTTTAAAAAGCATACAAATTTCTCTGTTGTTTGGGAAGCACTGCTCATTATCTTCAAATAAAGTCATGCCATTTTTAAATGAAAGTAAAATTAAAATGTGTTTTCACACCATGTGAGAAAGTCATTTTACTATGAGACAGCATTGCTTTTTTTGGAGTGGGGTGTGATGTGGGCATGGTATTGCAGCTGTAAGGTTAGATTTAATCATTTTCAAAACTTTGTAAAATTTCAAGATCAGATTAACTTAAAACTGTGGTGCGGAACTTTCAGGTCTTTCATCTCCCTGTTAAATCCGAGACATGCAGGGCAACCTGCTCTGTAATCTGCTTTGTGTAATCTTTTTGCACTTCAAGTGTAATCTAATGAAGCAGTATTTGTTATAGGAAATTTACTTCTTGTAAAATCTCAAAAGATGACCTTGCAGTTGTCCATTTTTGTCTTTCTGACTATGAGTATCTTAGGCATTGTGTACCGACGATAAAGCCTGAAAAGAAAAAATAGCATTGAACACAGAAGGAAATCTCCATGTGACCTAAAGTAGGAGAATAAAGTGGAAAGACTATACAATCTTAATTCCATGCTTAAAGAAAGAGGGAGGAGCTTTTTCCCATTTCCTTCAAACATATTACTCTATTTCCATAGCAACTAACACATGCCAATCAGTCACAGTAGATCTTCCATCTCGATCGTTTTTAATGCAGATTTTTCAGTGGTAGTTAGGAGAAATTGACAACTTAATGAATTTAGACACCTTACATGCAGGAAATGCAGTGATTAAATCTGCCCAGGATGGCGCTATGGTTAATAGTGTTATTGAAGGGGAATTAAATTACCTGTATTTATGACTGCAAAAGTTACAATTGCAACTGAAGTAACGAGTACATAAAAAATCCCCAATCTGTACTGATAGCATTTTTGTTGCTGTTTTAGTTAGTTCAACAGTGTACATTATTAATAGTATTTATTAAAGCCAGTGGAATATTACAGCCATTCACTTAAAATGTTGATTTATTCTGTGCTTTTTATTAATTGGACACAAAGATTCCAGCAACCATCAGAGTTAAAAGAGTAGAAACAGGGCTTGTGTTTTTGCTATGTTCTATATTTCCATTGACTATACTGTACATAGCTAAAAACTAGAAAATTAGATAATTTTGTCTCATCCTTCCTTTTTCATGGAATCCCCACAATACAGTGTGTATGTTCTATAAATAAGATAAACACTTCTTTGAGCAGTTTATTATAAAATGGAATATGTTTCATCAAACTTGCAAATAAAGCCTCAATGGGGAATCTTAGAAGACCTTACAAAGACCACCAATGAACACTAGATTACTGCCTTCAGCTTTCTTCCCCCCTGGACCACAATTTCCCAACCCTTTCTCCTCCCTATGGTGACAGAGAGCAGCGGGGGGGCCATCTTTGGGATGAGAAGTTAATTTGAGTTCCTGGTTATTCAGTTGTTAAGGATTCCACAGAATCAGCCGTGAGAGTGGAAGTCTAACTCTGCCTTCCGGGTTGAATCCCGCTTTGGGCTTGTTCACTCTGGCCAACCTAAAACTTTCTCTTAATTCAGCTGGTGAAGTAATTTCTCACTTCACTTGATCTGTGCTGCTGTGGGTTTGCAGCCATGTCACCCAGGTGGCTGCTGCACTTCACTGCTTTATGAAATTGATTGCTTCCTCTGTATACGAAGTTCTTTGGGATCCTTTGAGATGAAAAGCAGAACAGTATGTAAATATGAGGCATTGCTATAATTAACTCTGTAAATAATAGCACCAGATATTGTGTTGTTTGTTTACTTATTGCGCTGTGGAGATAAATGTTCGGTAATTACAGAATATATCGGAGACAAGTTGCTTATGGCTGTATATAATGTAGACCTCTCACTGAAAAATAAACCTCTCATCATGCACACAGCATAAGAAGTACTGTACGTGGTCTACCTTTGAAGTCAACAACAATAATAATTGGAAATTCAGTATATAGTGCTACATTTTAGCCATTGCATTTATTTCTCTAAGCATGGAGAACATAATCAAAGACTGCTCTCTAGTTTTCTGGGGTAAGTAACCACCAGCATGCTGTTCCTGGGTCTTCATAATGTCGAATAACCATGCCCATGTCTGTATCTCCTGTTCCAGCCCAATTCCAACTCATATGCACAGTCGGGGCGGCACTCGGTGTCCGTTGAGGTCCAGATGCAGAGGCAGCGTCAGGACGAAAGGGAGAGCTTCCAGCAAGCCCAGAGACAGTACAGCTCACTCCCACGGTAAGACCATCCTCTCGCGGCTCCAAACCTTGACGACATCGGCTTGCCGAGCGCTCCTCTGTCGGAACACTTTGTGGTGCAGTCCTCACGCACCCTGGTGAAAATCAAATAATAATTTGTATGTTTTTTTACCTACAAGGCTTTTTGTTTAATTCTGAAACATCATGAATTTTAGAAACCAGAGCCCCTCTTCTCCCTCACAGGCTGTTTTATACACAATTTTCCTAAACGGTTGTACTGTACTCAGCAGGCACTGAAATCTCAACCATACAGAATGGAATGGAAGTCACAACAAAACAGACAGTAGTGGCTCTGTAGTTTTAAGTATGGAGATGTATCCCCCCCTTATGTTACAGAAGTAGAGAGAGTTGTCGTACAGTTTCTCAGTATTTATTAGTATGTCATAAATGACACACTGACTTAAATGGAAGAAATACTTGAACATTATAATCAGACAAAGCAACCAGAAAATGGCTCTGCTGTGCCTGGTAACCCTACTGTGTTCTGGGCTTCCGTAAAACATTTTACCATGGAGTTAATTGTATGTGGGTTAGGGGAACACATCCCATTTTTGAGACTTTTTATAGCAAGTATCTGGTATTAACACAAGGAAAAGACCTTGTTTGTCCTATGGTCCCCATGTTTGTCCTATGGTCATGTTCATGTTAAAAACACAAGTTCATCAGAAACCCTTTTTATCTTGAAAAAAGAACCTTTTTATCTTTTAACATTTTTAAATTGAACAGTGGACAAAATAATAAAACAAGTTATTTTCAACTTTCAACAAGTTCAGGATTGTTTCTGGGAGAGTGCATTGATCACTTTAAAATATCCCCATATCTCTGCTTTGCAAGTCCTAGTTTTTACTTCAAACGCAGCAAAATCATGCATGGATATTATGTGGAGAAACATGGAGCGTTATGACATGTATTTGTCATGAAGTAATTAAATTTAATGAATGTTTCAAGAGAAATGCAGTAGTCACTGATTCCTCAGGAAGAAGATGAGTTTAGTGTCTTTCAACCTTTGTCTGCTTTGCTGCAGCCTTAATTTTAAACTTTAGCTTCTTAAATATACCAATGAAAAAAGAAATGCAACACCTCCTCCTCCATACTGTGGCCCTCCCGTGTCCGTGGAACAGACGGAAGAGTGACTCATCCATGAAGAGGACCTGATGCCACTGCCGATGAGTCCATTGCAGCCTCTGTCTGGCCCAAGCCAGTCGGAGTGATGTCTAGGAGGTGTGAGCAGAGGGCCTCTGACAGGTTGCCTTGATCTAAGGCCAGCAGCATGGAGCCTCACTGTCATGTCACTGATGTGGGCGTTGTGTCTGCCGGCAGTTTCAGCAGCAATACGGGTGGCAGATCTGAAACGATCTCTCAGATGGACCAGTCTTATGTGTCGGTTCTGCTCTGGTGTGGTCACTCGAGGGCGACCGGGTCTTGGACTGTCATCTGTCCTCCCGGTCTGCTGAAACCTTCTCTGCAGTCGGGACACAGTGGAGAGGCTTACTCCATAGTGTCTGGCAATGCTTCTGGTGACATTCCAGGCATTATGGAATGCACAGAAAACTGACTAAGTGTGGCCTTTTTCTTGCAATGACTTAAGCTTTGAACTAAGGCCTTTTTCAAGGTGACCTGATCAGGCATTGTTCCACCCCGACCTTGTTGGGTAAAAGTGCACCTAACGAGCTTTTGTGTGATTGGCAAGTTGCAATGCCTCACTGGACAAGCTGTATTGCTTGTCAGAGGGCTTAAAACAAATTTATACCTTTTTGTGAAAGTACATAAGCTATAACTATAGTATTCTCATTCCAGAAAATTTTGCGTTTCTTTTTTCATCAGTATACTGTAAATAGGAATGCTATTGAAATTAGTACAAACCTTGCACTTAAAGGTAAAAACATGTTACTTTATAAAGAAGAAAGAATATTTATACTCTTTATGCTATATGGTATTCTTGTAGTGTCTAGGGTTTAAGAAACATTTCTCTGTTGCTTCTGGCACATCCCTCCAAATCGTAATACAGAATAGCTGAATAAATATCAGCTTTCAAAGGGAAATTAATCTTGACAAATGTGATCCTGAAGGCCTTGGGTTTGGTGTTCAGTGTTGCCTTGGATAAGACTTTCTGGGTGTTGTCAATAAGACTTTTAGATCTTAAGTCTTGAGGCAAATTCAGATATCAGCTATTCCATTAACAGCTATCTTGTAGGTGCATTTCTATCAAGAAACGACTCTAATCTTCAGCAGCTGCAAATCAGCAAGCAAAATCATGCTTATATTCAGCCTTCTTTTTGCAGCTTTACATACATAAAAAATCTCATTATCAGTGAAGCCATTTTGGACAGTTATGCGACTTTAGAAGTATTGCAAAAATGCAAAAAATACAAATTGCATTTATCTTTTGAATGAATTATTTATTATTATTGCACAAAAGCTTGTGTTAAATGGTGGTTTCCTTACTGTTTTCTTAACGTGGATAATATATTTTATTTATAAGCGCTTTTCATTGTTCTCAAGAGTGTAAACAGAAATAACAAAAAATCAGAAGTAAACAAATTGACCAAATTGAGACAAAATAAAAAATTAAGCAAAAAGCTTAATAAAGCTTAACCTATGACACAGATGCATAATCACTAATTCCAGAAGTGAATTCCACAGTTATGGAGCTTCACAAGAAGATCTGATTCTTTTTGTGTAAGATCAAGATCTACTTCCCTTTCTCTAATTAAAAAAACCTAAATCAGCACATCTCGAATTAAGTGTTTTGTACTATACCAAGTCCTTAAAGTAACCTGGAGCTGTACAATGCAGTGTCTTGTATTCAAATTTGAAATCCGCTCTAAATTTCAAGGGAAGTCTTTGCAGTTTACACAGCACAGTTACAATATCATCTGCTGATGCAGAGCAATTTTAGTTAACACATTCTGAAGTCTCTTTACAGGCTCAAGGCCTGATAGTCAGATAGTCAGAGCTGATGTCCTTAACTTGGCAGCATTACGCAGATGGGAAACAATACCCTTATACTGTAATGCTTCTAGTATGAGCACTGAATGTGACAACATAAGGTGAAAAAAACAGACATCACCAACTGTAGCAGTTGTTAGGTGCCAATAAACATATCCTCAGTCCTATCACATCTTGGCTGAATGAAGTTCTGTTGCATCCATATCTCAGTATCAGTCAGGCAGCTGTAGAGTGCATGAACCACACCATACAGTATCTGATTTAGTTTGCAAGAAAGACTGAGTATCATCAACATATTGGTGAAATCCAAGTCCATGATGGTACTGTAAATCTGTTGAAGACACAGCATCCTTTCATTATCAGAAAGCTGCTTATTCCTATTTATTCCTATTATTCTTCGTATTTATTCCTGATTAAGGTCTCAACCCAGGATCTAACCCAGACGTATTGGTTGCAGGGCAGGACTACAGGACTGCTCTGTTGGTCTATCACAGACCACATGCACATGCAGTTTAGTGATATCAGTTACCTCAGCCAGCATAGCTTTGATGGTGGGAGGAAACTGGAGCATCCAGTGAAAACTCACATGAACATGGAGAGAATGCGCAGACTCCACAAAGAAAGCTCCCCTCTTCATAATTGAGGCCAGGAGGACGACCATACTAAGAGGCAACACACACGTGCTAAACAGTAAAAGTTACAGCACGGTACCTGTGCAGGGAACACCCTGCATAACTGGGATAACATCAGATTTCACACAACACAGAGTACCACATTGGCTCCTGTTGGTCGATGGATAACTGATCATCCTGTGTGATAGAAATTAATATTTT